TCAGCGCTGCTCCTCCTGGCTGGGGCACAAGTGCTTCAGCACTTCCACGCGCAGAATGCCAGTAGAGATCTGGCGTTGAATGAGGCTGGCTGCTTTGTTATGAACTTGGTTGTCTGACAATTTGATTGCCACTCACACACAGAAGAACTCACACACGCCCATACATGCATGAGACAAAGGGGAGGAGGAGACAGAGTCCCACTGCACACAGACCAGAGATAAGCAGCGGAATAACAATCATGCACAGAAGGGGAGAATACACTCAGTGTTTCTCTCTCTTAGACACACTCCCAACAACCAATCACAATATGACACTGCGAAGACCACAATTGGAAAATAACCCAGATGATGAGCCAACTCAACACAATTAATCTCAATTATCGTTTCAGAGTTCAACCCAGTGTCTCGCCACCCCAGTACCACACACTCCACTCACTACTCCACTCTCAGGGTCTAGCGCTGTACTGAAACAGCCTCCCAGAGGCCAGCGCCATACACCCAGTCGAAGATCATGAACAGCGAGGTAGTCCCCAGTGCCGATGAGTCACTCTGACGATGAAGAAGGCAGCTATGGCTGCCTGGCTGCTACCGCAGCAGCAGTACCCACATGTACCCAGTGAAGAGCCTCCGGATAGTCCTGCCAAGCGCAGATATCCCCAGGGGATAGCTGCACTGAGATCAGCCCCAGCTATGGCTGTCTCAGGTAGGCTGGCTATGGCTGCCTCACACAGCTGAAGTCTCAGGTGCCGCTGCAGACCTTCAGTGCTGCTAAACTTGGTTGGCCACGAACGCAGTAACGCGAAAAATGAATTGCGAAAAGTCCCCAACTAATTCCCCTACCGGACTTATAGGCTGCCTACTCTAACCTAGACCTAGACCGGACTGACTGGACCTACCGGTACCGTTGCTGTTTCGGCCTCTCGGCCTCCACCGGACCCGGCTATAGGCTATAGGACCGTATAGCAGTATAGGCCGCTCAGGGCCTGTCTGTCCTAGGGGTAGCCTGGGCCTGCGATAGGCAGTTAGGGTAGCTGTAGAAATTCGGTTAGTACCGGGCCTGTGTTTTCCCGGAATTGCAGATCTGTCCCTCACGAATTTCCAAACAGGCAGGTCTCTCGGTTAGCCCTCAGCCAAACAAAATTACAAAACTAACCCTACCGGTTAGCGTACAGCCTCGCAGTCCGTCTCGGCAGCATAAATCAGCAAGTCATTGCAGCTTCCATTATAGCGCTGGCCTCCTCTCGCTGGGTCTGCATTGGTCCATTCAGGCCTTCCTTTGTCCCAGACCCTGCATTGCATGTGTCCCAGTACTGTCCC